AAACCCATTAAAATCAGTTTGTGTATTAATTCATTAATACTGTATATTAAGAAGTGTATATTACTACAAATTCTACAATACCTAAGAAGCTGTGAATGAATAGTGCTCTGTATATCATTTGTTGGTACATTACTGTTTGGAGAGGAGAGTACAGAAATTTGAAATAAGAAATCATTTTTTATCACAAACATTAATATTACTACAATTATTGATTATCCTAATATTTAAATCTAAATAATGTACTTCGGTATTTGATATAGAAGTATTCTCAATCTGTAGAACTACAGGATAAATGTTACCTATGTAATAACTTATTCCTGAATTATTTATACTAATCAAATTGTCACTATATCTATTTGTTAAGGAAAATAATTCTGGATTTGAAAAATAACTGATAGATTTATTTTACGTAACAATGAAGATATAAGTTAGCAACACAGCTTGAATAATTAAAACCCATCGGTATACGTATTAATTGTTTATAAATGTATTTATTAAAATAAATATAATTATTATATACGCAAAAACTGGATATGCTTTTGATCTTATTAACAGTAAAAGTTTGTTTTTCTATTTCTATGGGTAGATCTATAAATTGATCTATTAACGAATTTATCACTATTACCAAATCCTTAAATGGTATAGATGTAAACAACGTAGTGAAATATTATGTTTCGATTGTGTCTGCTAATTGTGTGTTATTTAAATGTCTAGAGTTTTTAAGACAGATTCAGTATTTTACTTATTCAGAAATCATGTTTGTTATTTTGTTGTAATTTAACAAATAACTGATTTAGTGATTTACTTAATAAAGCTGCAAGTTGTTTCAGTGTAGTATTTACTGAACTAGAAATAAAACAAAGTTTAATGGGAGATTTATATAATTTAGGTATAGCATATAGATACGGTAATTCTGAATATGGATTTGTTTTTAGCATCAAATTTTTATAGCTTTCAACAAGCTGTCAATAATAACTTCTTAAGACTTATTTTTCAATTTAAAAGTTTGTGTAGTATCTATCTCATTAGTTATAATTTGTGCATAAAAACGCTTACAGATAAAGCCAAATTTACAGTTGACTTTATCGATAAGTACAACAACATATTTTTTCTGTATTTTACAGATTCTATAAATTGAAAAATTAATTTAAAACTATTGGATATTTAGTTAAATTATTAAAAGGTAATTAATTTTTAATTTTATTAATAATGATATTTCTATTCTAAAAACCAATTTAGAGGATAATGTCTAGAATAACTAAGTTTCAAAACATATTAATCTATGTTTTTCTTTATAGAATTTAAAATGTCTACTTTTAGCCGCGGCAAAGTGGCTCATAGAATGACTTTTACCTCATAGCTCGTCATCTTTTGACTGATTTGAGATATAATTACAGTATTGAACTGAGGAGGTTAAACCCTTTCGTATTTGGCCACGCCCAAGGTGTCATAGATTAATTTACTCTAATCCTGCCTTAAATAATTTAAATTTGAGATAGGCTGGTAGAGATCATGATGAGTAATAAAATAATTGGGTATACGCGCGCACCACGCTTGGTATCGGTAGCACACAAAAATGTAGGTAATAATAAGGAAAAAAATATCTCGTAGATTAATTTATTCTAACCCTCCCTAAAATATTTGTAAGTGACTCGGCTATTGAGGATTACAGAACCATGTAGAATTTTAGAAATTTGTAAATCATTAACAATTTTATGTTTGAAATTATTTATTGCATATGACGATTTTCCTATTGGTAATTCTTTAATTATAGCATTTAAATTATTTACCTTAAGCCTAAATTTTACAATCTCGGAAATTAATTTGTTAGCATGATTATTTTGAAAGTTAAATATCATTACAGGTTTTGTTAATACTTGTAACTTTGAATTTTAGCAAGAATATAAAATCAATAAAATAACCCATTTTATTATATTTTTATCCTTTTCCTTTAGTTTTTCTTTTTGTAAATTTCTTGCTAATAAATTTCAACTTTTAGTAACCATGACTTTCTGTAAAAGGATTGTCTTTTGTAGAGTTTTTATTTCTTCAGAAGACAATGCGAGAAGCCAACTTTGGAATGAAATGTTCGTTAAAAGGCCTGATGCCGATCGAGAAAGTAAAATAACCGAATGTGGTGAGTTTTAAGAAAAATGTGATCGTAGTAAGCATGTATAATAATTTTTAATTATTTAATGGTAATAATCACTGTGCGGCAGATATAAATATATATTGAAATATGTGGGAAAAATAATAGAATTAGGAATATGTAGGAAAGATAATAATGCGTTGTCTGATAAGAGAAAGTTAACACTTCGTAATACGTCATAGGATATTTCTCATTGTCTGTTGGAACAAAAGAAGTATAATAATGTGTTCAATAAAAATAATAAAACGAGACATCAACGATTTTTACTTACACAATAATTTATTTGTAAAGTTTATAAACTATAAGTTAAAAGAAACTTTAAAAACTCTATATGTTTCGGTGGAAATAATTCCATCATCTTCAGAAACATAAACCAAAAGATACACATGAAGTTTCTAATAAATCTAATGTACGTGTAAAATTAGCATGTTTTACAATGGCGCCATTTTCAACAACGACTTCCAAAAGTTTACTTCCATGACTTCTGGGCCTAAATCTCTATTTATGTTCATTTTGTGTTTAACAGTTTCTAAGGACTCTCAGCGCTTCTATAAGGGAAACACTTAGCTTTGGTTTCTGAATCTTAGCTCTGATATGTTCAATAACTCTCTCTTTTCACCTAATGTAGTCCTCTCTTTTTTTTAGTTTTATTTACTTTTAATGTATACAATAATATGTTTGTCTGGAAATCTTTATATGGAATTATACGGTATTTTATGCTTTAAAAAAACGTAAATTTCATTCGTTGACGAACTTATTTCCCGTTTCAAGCAAAATACTTTTGAGTTTTGACAAATTTATTTAATACTAAAGTCAAAATCAGGAACCGAAGACTAGGTTTTTGTGCAGAGTTGTGAAAAACTTACAATAAATAGAATGTGTTATATTTGTGAAAATGTTACATATTTCATATAATTTATAATACAGTATGCAATGTACATTGAAAATAGATTATGTAATAACGTATTAATACCTTGTACACATTAAACTTTGTTCATATTAGAATGCGTAATCTTTCAAAATAGATAACATTATTAGTGTTTGTTAAGTCACCAACACAACACTGAAAGTATGAAGAATTAACGTTCTTTATTTTGTCATCTTCTTTATCAATAGAACTGGAGAAGATATCAAGTTGCCGCTGTTCCGGTAAACATGTTTACTGTGAACATCAAGATATTCATGTGGTACCCACACTTTCACGCGAAGTAACAGTGTTGTAAGTTGTTCTAATCAAATAATCCTGTGGTTGTTTTCTCCATCCTTTCTTTTTTCTATATGTTCGATTGTCAAAAAATATATAGCGTGCTACAGATCAGGTATTAGTTTAAAGACGCTGATAGGTCCTATCATTATTATAATAACTTACAAAGCTTGAATTTTTAATCTATGTAAATGGATATTAAAGTGTTCCTAAGTTTTATATAAGTAGTTCAGAATTATGTCAATTTCGATATACTAAGATCATGTGGGAGTGTTTTATTTTCAATATAACTCGTTGACTAGATAAAAATTATTTTTACTATAAGAATGTTAAGAATTAAATGTTATTTACGCTAATATTGTTTACCATGTTTCTCAAGTTAAGCTCTGATTATTTTTTAGAGGTTTACATACACGTTCCTTATCTATTGTTTCTTTTTGTTGTAAATCTCAAACTAGCTAATTATGATTTTTGTAAGATCTCTAGATTTTCGACATTCAACATAAAATTCTCTAACACTTAATAATTAACACTTTCAGAGATCTTTCTGGAAACCACTTTCCTTCGCTAGAGCCATCAGACTTTTTTGAACTACCGAAACTTGTATCTCTGTAAGTATATTAGCACGTTACAGTCTCTGCTTCTTTTTTGTTTCTAATTATCGACTAAATGTTAACTGTATTTCCATTTATCTATTATACATTAACTGCTTTTCAGAATTTATCGAATGTGTAATACATAAACTCAACCATTACATTATGGATGGCTAAGATGATTCTGTTAATATTTTGTAATGACAAGTTTATTTAGGGAAGATTTATGACAAATCTTTGCGGATATAGCTTTTATCAAAAGTAATCTGAGCTTAAAGAAAACCCTACACAAATATTATTGTGTTTGTATGTTGAAATAGATAATAAAATGTCTCTTATAAGAACGTGTTTTCTTAATTAATATATTAGCTAAATGTTTTTGTAACGAATTTGTTATTATATATTTATTCTAATATCAACGTTGTTTATAATAAGTTTATATTTAGAAAAACGCATAGCTTCTAGTGTTAAATATGTATTGCAAGATTCCCAACTATTCTACAAAGTCGTATAAGATTATCGAGAGTAAGAATCAACAATATATGCGTATACGTAAACGCTTTAACTAGTATTGTTATGTAAAACTGGAATTTCTAGAACGCCTCCACACAGCTATAAATATATATAATCTACGCGACGCACCAAAAGCAGTGTGTCTATTAGTAGTTCGCTATAATCATTGCGGCATAAACTTCGAAAGCTATAACTATGATTTTTATAACGCTTAGCAATCGGAAAACTTAAGATATTTGAACAGGAATATTTATAAATTTCGAACGTTACAAATCGTTTAACTTCAGTGGATTCTCATTGGACATTAATATATTTACGAAAACCATACCTGACTTCAACGGTGGAAAACCTAGCGTATGTGGCCAAGGACAAAGCTAGCTAGCTTCCCGGCTAATCGTACTTACATAAACTCGTAATTAACTTGCTCATCGTAAACCCTCGATAAGATATCAAGGGAGTTCCAGACTAGAAAGAAGATTTTATATTGTTTGTAAGTTTGTGAAACTTTTGTTTATAAATCTTTGTTTGTAATAACTATTTGTAATAACTGTTACTGTAAATTGTATTGTTGTGCGTCTATTAAAACGTATTTGTGTTAAAAACGAAGACGGTGTGTATCAATCTTGTTGGCAAATATCCCAAATTGACTAATATATCGGCATATATTTAAATACTAAATCTAAAGTACAATTTAAGTACTAAATTTAAATTATCAGTTAACGCGGCTTCGGACTATTCGAAATTCTAATATGTAACATTTTCCACTTACTAATTATTTTGTCAAATAATGAACTTTCTTCGGATTATGCAATATTAATTCAGAATCTGCTGAAACAAGCAGATCGTTTAGAACTCAGCAATGTTACTTAAGTAAATGGAAGCAGTTTCTTTATCTCATAACGTCGAATATAGATTCATACTCTCAATACATGAAGATCGTATGGCGTGGTTTCTTTAGCCATAAAGTGTTATTATTCACTTAAGAAGAGCTGTTTAGTTATTGTAACAACAGGATAAATAATTACGACATTATATGCAAGTAAACTTATTAACATATATGTATATACGGCGTGTTATTAAACTAATTACTGTATTTGCGATATACGCTTAGTTGTGCATATATGTTAAAATCCTTTTATTCTAAGGAACTACTCCAAAGTCAAATATCGTTCCCCATTAAGGACAGACAAATAAACCTATAGTACACGTAGCGTGGAGGTTCTAAAAGGAATGATACCACTGTTGGGTCTTACTTCCAGAAATACATTTCTTAATATCTCCATTTTCTGCCCTAGATATATCCATCTGCTTTATTTGTACGGTGCTAAGTGTTTCAAACTATACATATTTTAACATATCTACACAATTCTACTAAATCTTTGGCTGAACAGTAGAAGTATAGCTTGTGTTTGTTTTCTGAAACAGCCTCTTGTTAGTTTATTGGCGAGTAATATATGCTCATCCAACGAACCTCTCTCTAAGCTACGTGCTGATGGTTGTGTTTCAATCTGTAACAAATTACAACCCAGAGAAGCTTTTAATCAGTGTTTTATTACGTTACTAAGAATTTATGTTTTCACCAAGGATTCCACAGTTTCTTAAAGAGAGGGAGAAACATTATCAACATCTGATTGAACATCTTTAGTAAAGATTCAGTTCGGACTACATTGAATCCACTTCTCTTCCTAAAGAATGACATTACTCGACATTGTTAGATCTTTTACATTTGTAATCACTTATGTCATCATAAAATTCAATTGGAACGAAAAAAGTGTTCTCAGGAGGTTAATGCGGAATTTATCTAATAGAAAGTAACATCGGTGTTATAGTCCTGAAGAACTAGCAAGTATAAGACGACTGCTATCGCGTGCATTTATTCTTTTTATTTATGTAGCTATTACGACATGTATTTTAAAATCTCATTTTTGTTCTGTTCTGTCTATCCACTTTATCACTAAAGCATGTTTACTTTTCACTCTAGTAATAACACCTTAGCGATAACTTGTATCAAGTAAAATAGAAGTCACGATTCAAACACGAACAATGTATTGTACAACATTTTCAATCTTGCTCAGGTGTACAAGCATAATTATAATTATAATTCTTTTCGTTTACATGGAGATATAAGCTTCTATCTTGCTATAAACAGTGCGTGACCTGAGAACACATTTTTAAATTAACATAAAACTGCTCTGAATTAATAACAATGTGAACGTTCTTGTTCTTTGTTTTTAGTTATTTTTATCCCCAAAACTTTTGACTCAATACTGAAGTTATACCTTACGCTATTAGTCTAAAAGGCTACAAGGCTGGTTTTTCTTTTCTCCTTCTATCTCTTTCTTTCGTTTTATACTGGCTTACATATTTTGAATTGAACAACCTATAAAGTTAGGTCCATGTCAATTGATACTACCTTGTAGAAAACATAACCCTTGAAGTTACGAAGAAAGAATTTATGTGATGTATTATGTTATCGTGTGCGTAATCACATCTGTTGATGGGGATTGTAACGATAGGTTCTTACGCTGTCACCATTGAACAAACTATATCCCAAAATGTCCGCCTACTCGTCAATCGCTAAGAAATGCTTGTGTTATACAACGTTTCGTTAATCAAATAATCCTAAAACATAAAGTTATATAAACTTTTATTAACTAAACCACACAAAATACGTAACAAACAATTATTTCCGTCTCGCTTTCCATCTCCAAATTCCATTCATCTCCCACCATCCGATCATCAGGACCTCTCCTGTTTCCACGAGGGTTGTTGATTTTCGTTTTCCCCTCTTTTGGTGTTACCTTAAAATTCACTAACCGTATAACTTCGCAAGGTCACACCTTTACATTATAAAAGTTTTCACAAACTACAGAATCTCACAAATGTAAAGAAAATGTTAAGAGAATGTTCGTTACGGTGATCAAATACGATTTCGAATGAAAATTCTCTTCTGAATTCCGTCATGGCCAGGTGGTTAAGGCACTCGACTCGCAGTGTGAGGGTCGTGGGTTCGAATCCCCGTCGAACCAAGCATGCTCGCCTTTTCAGCCGTGGGGGCGTTATAAGTGACGGTCAATCCCACTATTCGTTGGTAAAAGAGTAGCCCAAAAGTTGGCGGTGGGTGGTGATGACTAGCTGCCTTCTCTCTAGTCTTTCATTGCTCTATTAGGGACGGCTAGTGCAGATAGCTCTCGTGTAGCTAAACAAACAAACTGAATTCTGTAATGTTCAACAAAATAGTTTATGGGATGACATGTATCCTCATGTTTTCGCTAAACTAACATGGATATTGTTAATAACATAAAGGTCAGATGCTCTTCAACACCAACGTTTTAGTAAAAGTTTGCTTTTTTATTATAGAATCTTCAAAAAGGTATTTATGTTACAGATTTGCTACACTTATTGTTTTTTTAACCATTATATAATTATTTGTTTATCATCACCTCGACTAGAGTTCGGTCAATAAGGTTGGTGATGACAAAAGCTTGTTGTTACAGCATTGCGTTCAGAGTCAATAGCCTTTGTAAGCGCACTCTTTCTTTTGCTTCTTGTAGGTGTTAAGGGATTTAAAAGGAGTGATGGATAATACGCATCTAGAATTAAGTATACGGTAGGATTCCGTCTATGGTCTTATTTCAAAAAGTTACAAATGAAAATCAATAGAGCAAACCCTACTTTAACATACTATCAATATGGTTGTTTTATTTAACAGAAATGAGAAAAATAATTCAAGTAATCTTTGTCAAGGAGGTATTTGATAATAGGTTTTGCCCTTACAGGTAAAATCTCTGTATCACCGCTTTCCAAAAAGCCCTCGGCTATTCAGTTGTGTTCAGTAGTGTACATTTAAAACTCCTGCGAATAAAGTAAAACATATCTCATTTTTGTCAGCAATATGTTTCTCTTGTAAATAACAGCTTGCTTTCTTTGTTGTCACGATGGCATTTAAAACTTAAGGCACATACATAACTTCTATGCGTGATTTCATCTCATAGTTATTAATATCTTCGTTTGATCGTGTATGGCATGGCAGCAGATAATATCTTGCTATTAGGTCTTATATAAAATGTCGCGGCAGTTTGCAGTGTAGGGTAGAACAACGATTTAGTGATACGGTATATTTTTTCTCCTGTAGCGTCGTAAGAATTTATAGATTACGTTATTATTTTCAGCATAGGCACATTTATGATTAGTATGATGTATGAATCATCTCTGTACACTCTCGACGTATACACGTTGCATTTGAACTGCATAACATGTTTGATAGCATCATATAGTTGTCATCATATAGATAGCACGATTAACCACAGCATACAGAACAGAAGATGAAAATTTCTGTTCTGGATATTCACATACATCCGTATTTGATAGATAGCTTTAGTAGATGTTTAATACGTTGGCTGTTGTTGAAATTGAAAACATTACTAATTTGTTGTGTTATAATTAATTATCAATATAGGAAGTGTTAAATATTTGCTGATATCGAGTATGTTTCTTTCCATTCAGGATCTTGGTGACATCAGATATTGCTGTAATTGAAACCGATGTTTTTAGATTTCTTCCAGTGTTACGTCATGTGTAAGTAGACGAGAACATGTTGATTCCTTTGTTAGTTCTAGAACTTTCATTGTCGTGTTGCGATAGTGACATCTAATACTGGAATCATAGATGAGCTATAGCTGCTTTTGTAAAATGTTAGCTGCAATAAAGCAATCTAACCGTAAATGACTACTCATGATATCTAACCTGTCCTGACGAATCCGTAAAATCCAACCGGGCTTATTGAATATTAGATATTCTATATTGCCCGCTTAATACCCCTTGGACTGATGAATTATGTCACTAAGCAAACCTTGGTGCTACTCTACCTGTTCCGCTAAACTATGTTTTACAATGAATGTTCGTGATGCCCAAATAGATCTGATGAACTATGTTGTTGAATCAATGTTCGTTATGCCCAGTCAAATCTGAGGAATTTTGTTATTGAGTGTATGTTTGTGATATCCAGTCTGATCTATTAAACTATGTTTTTAAGCGAATCCTTGTGCTACTTTACCTGTTTAATGAACTATGTTTTTAAGCAAATCCTTGTGCTACTTTACCTGTTTAGTGAACTATGTTTTTAAGCAAATCCTTGTGCTACTTTACCTGTTTAATGAACTATGTTTTTAAGCGAATCCTTGTGCTACTTTACCTGTTTAATGAACTATGTTTTTAAGCGAATCCTTGTGCTACTTTACCTGTTTAATGAACTATGTTTTTAAGCGAATCCTTGTGCTACTCTTCCTGTTTAATGAACTATGTTTTTAATAAAATCCTTGTGTTATTCTACCTGTTTGATGAACTATGTTTTTAACCGAATTCTTGTGCTACTCTACCTGTATGATGAATTATGTTATTGAGTGAATGTTTGTCTATCTCACTTAGCCCGATGAACAGTGTTTGTTATACTCTACCTATAAATTATTATACCCTACCTAGCCAGATGGTTTACTTTGTTTACTGAATGTTTAGTTTTGATTGATTTCTTCATGGCAAGGAGCAGCTGTTTACACAACAGGCACGCATGTAGATATATATGCTGTCACAAATTCAATCTCAATTTATAGTTTAAATTACGAACTACATGAATATCTAGTAAATACGGTTAAAATTTAACGTTATGGTTATGAACTAAAAACGCATTTATTACTACATATATCCAGAGAAAGATCAAATAGAATGGACTCCAGCCACGTGTTATAACAGCCACCACAAGAAAAGCAGCTATTACGTGCACGTGGTATTCCATTTTCTGTCGGCAATAGCAGCATTAAAAAAATATATTTACGTATTGGTCACAGATATATAGCGGGTGTTATTAAACATCTGACACATGTGATTTATTTTTCTTGTTTCCTTCCAGACATCTTTCAGGAAATAATATTTTAGAACTCTTGCCAGACACTTTCATTTCCAGTTCTAATCTTATTACACTGTGAGTATTACTTATCTATTTCTGTCTGTCACTTTATCTTTAAAACATAATTTTACTGGTTATTTAAGATTTACTTAACTTTAAAACTAAACTTACAGAAAACATTAATAAATTACAAATAAATTGGTATATATTTAACTTGTTGTAATCAGGTCTAAAATATGAACTTCTAAAACATTATTTCACAAAAATATCATTTTTTTCATTTTAAAACAAATAATCTCAAGACTTCGTAAACACAAATCTAACAGATATAGACTTCGTAATCAGTTTATCTCTGGAAGGCTTGTTAAACCTAACCACCAAGTAAGTATTAATAATAGTGACCGAAAAACTGTTGTGACGCTAAATACATGAAGTATTTAAACAAACAAATAAATTCAGTAGAAAACAGGACGATACTAATAATATTCACTCTAATAATTTTAGTCTAGAAGGGAATGAATTGTTATAAATAAATAAACATCTAAATTATGTAAAAATGGATGTTCTAATTACAGTGAACTTTCCCACAACCCACTTCAAAACATTTCATCTGGAGCTTTCCGGGGCTTGTCGAGCTTGGAACATTTGTAAGAATGAGCAATTTTCTTTATTTGTGAGTTAGATTTAAATGCTAGTACATTCAAAATGGCTATAGACAAGTATTGTACAGATAAATAACAATTTTTGTTTTTATTTTATGACCATTCTTGTCTCAGCGGTAAGCTTGAATATTTAAACACAAAAATTCGGGTTTTCGATCCATGCGGTGGGTAACAGCAAGATAGCCCATTGCGCAACTTTGGACTTAACAACAAACAAGTAAACAAGTCATTCTTTCATACAAAGGCTGGACGTGGCCTAGTAGTTAGCATGTCTGGTTATAGATTAAACGTTTTTGGTATCAGAGATGGTACTGCTTAACAAGCTCCACACTTTCCTGTAATAAAAGTGACTACCAATTTCGATATTCAGTCTGTGGCGGCAGATGATGTTGACTAGCTGCCTTTTCTCTAGTCAGTAATTAAAAATTAGGGAATGCTATATCTGAATCGCAGTGGTCTAACCAAGTCATTTAGTTCGCATGTGCATAAGGTGCTTTTCAAGTTGCAAGTGTTTTTTAATATAAATATATTAACTATTTTGCATGCCGGTATGTCTGCAGACTTACAACGCTAGAATCCGGGTTTCGATACCCGTGGTGGGCATAGCACAGATAACTCATTGTGTAGCTTTGTGCTTAATTACAAAGAAACAAGTATTAAAAATACTAGAATAAATTAACTAGTACAAGTGTTAAAAAATAGTAGCATAAATTAATTAGTACAAGAGATGGTATATTAAACTCTTAGGTAAGTGGTTATATAAGATATAGATCGGGCTTAAGACAGAATTATTTTTATATTTTCTCATACGTCAAATTTTGATAATAAAAAAATAAGCTTTGAAAAGGCCCTCTCTGTATTTTTGATAATCTTTAGTCATGTGTGTGTATATATATATATCATAACTGTTTGAGTAAGGCTTTTCAGTTTACTTGAGATAGTGCACTAAAGAAAGATGTATCGTCAAAAAATTATAATCCTTAAAAATCACATTTTCTTCTACATATTCAATTCACTTTGTATCTATATTCAGGGACCTCAGGCATTGTAAGCTGACATCTTTTTCGCCCGGAATTTTTGATCCCTTGTTCTCATTAGAAAAACTGTAAGTTATGATACAAATTTGACGAGAATCTATAAGTTATGATCGAAATCTGACGAGAATTTATAAGAGGGGGGGGGTTGAGAAACTTCAAAAGTTTAAGATTACATGTAGTTACAGGCATTAAGATATTTTTAATTTTATTATGAATGTTTATATGTGCAGTCTTTTAACTTAGAACTCCAAACACTATGTACTTGAAGCAATATATGTTAGTGAGCTTTAAATTTTCATAATATTCTGAGATATAATTAATTTATTCACTGACCTTCTAAATGTACGATCAAATAAAGTAAAACTACGTTATTTATGAGCAAGAACGAAGATGTTGGAGCAAGTACGGCTGGGTTGAGAATATTATAGAGGTTATTTCTAGCCTAATTAATTAATAAAGCGTTAAGTACTTAGAAACCTTGGAATATAAATTTAAGTGGTTTTAATAATCGGGCTTTGTAAATTTAAATACGTTGAAGATTTATCCTCAAGAGTTTGAGTCATGCAATCTTGCTACAACATATTTTTTTCTTACCATACTTATCAGTATCGGGCTTGAGTTAACGTTGGAAGATGAAAGCTAATTAATCATACAAAGATACGTGTATTTTCTAAATGATTTTAGGCCTACCATTAGTTACCTTTGTTGAATGGATTTTGTGTTCGTAGGCAAAAAGATAGTTTTGTATAAATCATAACAATAATTCTGAAGATATCATGCTCCTTAAACTTTTCTTTGGAATAGTGGAAATTTGCTCTTTCATTTGCTAGACAAAAAAAACACCTGAACTTACTATATATATTTGTTGCGTGATGACGCCAGGTTAACAGTGATGAAATCTCACGTGTAATATCATCTTTGTTTTCACTACCTAGTAATGTTTTTTTTTTATATTATAGTGTCACCTAGGCCCTTATTTCAAGCTTTAAACATACATTATACTATTTAAAGCAAGACAAGCTGGACTTTGGATTTAATGAAGTATTGGATTCAAGTCATTTATAAAAGTCATTCTGGACTGAAGTTGTTGACATAGGCTAGCACTAAGTTAATGTTTTCGATAAAAATGGTTGATAAAAAATTAAGTCTCAAACTTATTTAGATAACTAAAATGTTAGGGGGAGTTATTAATTCAAGTTAACACATTTCTAATAGTGTTTACTTAAAAAAGCATACAGTTAAGGTTATTGATTTTATACACTAAGCTAAAGTTGATGGCTTAAACAAATATTGAAAAAAATAAATAGCAAACCATACCATTATGATATTATTTACTTTATTAGTTCATTCTTTTTGAATTAATTTCATTGTCTGATATCAAACATCTAAAGTTTACTGAAGGCCCAAATCAATTCAAAATCTTTGTCGATTTAACTTAACCTACAACCTACGCCTAAATTGTCTAAAAAAGCGCATACTAACTAGATGGGGAATTGTCCTTCGAGTTAAATAATATTTATGTTCGTAACATAATCCATCATTATATTCAAAAGTCTTTAATTAGATAGAACAGCAGAATACGACATATAACTTTCTATCTAGTGACCATCCTTTAATGCTGTCATTTCTACATTATTTATATGAAGATGGCTAGATGGGAATGAACTCTCTAAACTTGAGCCGCACGTGTTTAACAAGCTTCACTATCTAACAATATTGTAAGTAACATCAATCTATCTATTTATTGTGGTTTATTCTTGCTACAATTATTATTTATAATAACTGATGTCAGTCGCAACTGAGAGTCAGACATAACTATAAAAATCAACCTAAAACCTTTTTTTTTAGGAAAATACTTTTAATTCTCATATAATGTGATCCCCTTTCTCTATTTCAGAGTAGATCTCCGAAATATTACTGATTTAAAAGACTAGAGAAGTAAAATAAGTACAAGTTAATTTAATTTTCTCCTGTCGTGTTCTGAAAATATTTACCCTTCTTTTCGTTAACTAAGAATATTTAAAATATTAATTTCCCATAAAGTTTTTACCATTTTTTCTTTTCTTTCAAGTTATTTATCTACCTGAGCTAGTTAATACCAATATAAGAGGCATATCCATCTATTTGTCATGTCGTTTCTTTTAATGAATCTACAATTTTGTTTTTCAAAGCATCCAACCTTTAAATCACGTATGTTTAATAACGTCACAATATTTATCTGTGTTTTGTATCTTTCCAGATCTCTATCGTGGAACAAAATTCACACATTAATATCCACAGTGTTTCAAGGACTTTCAAACCTTCGGTTTTTGTGAGTAAAACAACTATATCTGTTTAATCTGTCCAAAATAACCTAACGTTATTTGAAAAACCTTTTATCAGTTATATAAAGATGGGTATGTTCATTATTTATTTTGTTGTTTAATCATCACATAGAAAAACTTTATCTTAACTTTTTTTTATAGAGGAATAATCTTTTAAACAAGAAGATCCAAACGACGTTTAGATGAAATGTTGTTTCTGTTGTTATTTTTCAGGAATCTAGCAGAAAACAAGATCAAACTTTTGAAAAATACATCACTGGGCAAGTTACCAGCTCTCCTTCATCTGTAAGTTTAACTAATGCACAAGTGCATATTTATAGTTGTATGTGTTTGTATAACCTTCTTATATTTATAGTTACAGCTAATTACATTTGAAGTTTAGACACAAATCTGTAATTATAACACTTACAGGCTGACGTCCCCTTCCTTTGTTCGGGTTATGAATTTGAAACAGTGTGGAGGTGGATGCTATGATAAATAAGACAAAAATCCTAACTTTCACACATTTTATTTATAACATAATATATTATTACAGTATTCATTATTTCTCACCAAAAGATTTAAGAACTCAATATGCATATACTTTAAACATGGTATACACTGTATAATGGTCAGAGTGATTGTGTAGGAAGAGGTAGCAATAACAATAAACAATAAACGTAGCAGAAATTTCGGTATGATATCTTACTAAATTAAACATCGGGGAATTATGGGGGGTGCTCTTCGCCCCTCTCGTGATAGTAGTGTGGGCTATACCTAGGTATTTTGCGAAAACACCAATTTTGTGTTATATTTTAAGAAAAACACAAACAAATTTTTTGATAATTAAAATCTTAAAGTCGAAATTTCATAAAGACATAAATCAATCTTGGTTTGAGATTACAGTAGCATATTTTTTTACTGTTTTTATACTTATTACAAATCTTATTTTTATTACCTTAAAAATCTGTATTTATAAAAACGAAAAATTGTTTTGGTTTTCTACTCCTCTTTCAGCGATCTTGCACATAACAACATGGAGGTGATTGAAGAAGAAGCATTTTCTGGACTTGCAGATCTCGAATCAATGTAAGTATAAATGATTTAAATCCTCTGCAAGTTTAGAACTAATCACTGTGAGAAAACATAATTTAGTTTATGATGCATATTATCATTAGATAACGTAATTTTTGAAGACTATCGTCATAAACTTACGATTATTATGCACAAATTGCTTTCCATAGTTTCAAAACTAGAGCTAGTATATTACCTAGCATACTACCTTTTTTCTAGTTTGGGGTCACTAGAGGCAGTGAAGGTGTGCAAAGCATACTTGTTCTACCTATGGAATTTGAGTTAACGTTAATGTATAGATTGCATAGTTATGATTTTAAGAACCAGAGTCAATGCTAGTGCTAATAAGATACTTATTTTAACTCTATGATTCTAGGAAAAATGAATAAAACAACTCCCATGCATTTCTAAACAATGGGTAAAAGTTTGATCAATTGTTTCATTAGTTTTAGAAGAGGATTTATTATTTATTAGGATGAAATTGTAATGTAATATTTCTGATGAACATGACTGATAACAGTGTTGAATGCACGTTGATTACTAAGGTCCCACTTCCTGCAACGTTCCCCACCTCAATGCACCCTAACAGAGCTTAAACTGATGGAAGAAGACAAGCAGAGTCTAGTACCTCGTACAGTAGGGTAGGAAGAGGCTTAGTAATTAGCTGGTTGGATTGTGGATTGAAAGATTGGATTGGATTGTAGCTTCATGTTGTTTTCTACATACCTTAGCTCTACCGTCAGCACAGAAAGAATGAAACGTGATTTCTGAATCAGCACCTTCAATGCCCACAGTTTGAGCTCTAAACACTGTAGCTCCTTAGTAACACAACAGTATGTCAGCTGATTTACAACGCTAGAAACCGGTATTCGATACCCGTGGTGGTCAGAGCACCAATAGATTTTTGTGTATCTTAACTTCAAACAAAAACTAAATACTAAAGTCGTGTTTATCCGTTTGCATCAGCGATGTGGTTTTAGTGCATATTATCCGTTATAGTTTTTATAATGTATCTTGCATGTTACGATTAGTAAATGTACATACATATATATAGCGATATATTGGTTGCTTTTGAATTAACCATCATTGTTGTTTACTAATAATATCAAAATCATGTTTCTTTTTTACTGTTCACAATATCTTCAGGTATATTTGTCAATTATACGTTGTTATAATTTGTATTTATTCACTTAGCTTTGTTAAAGTTTAATGTATCATTTGTTTTGTTCTTTAGATTACACATCTTAAAATTATTAAACTTATAATTATCAATAGTTTTCTTTGTCATGTACTTCTAATTTTATTGTCCATTTGTTTGAAACGTCTTTACTTATCATGAATGTTTTAAGCTTGTATCTAAGAATAGCTGTAATTCTTAGCCTGTCTTTAGTTTGTATTAATCATCACTAGTTGTTTTTCCTTATTGTGTTTTTATAACATATTTTTTATTTTATCTGCACTTATTGCTATATATTGAGTTTTGTATTTCACCTAATGTATCTATAAAACGCTTGAAATATAATAAGTCTAAAATTCCAGGTTCACTCTTTGCAGTAGGTACTGTAGCTTTTCGTTTAATAGCAATCAAACAAACAATTCTGTATTAAGCGGCAAATATTTTTGGTAGTTATGTCTTATATTTATAGCTTATTCTTATAGTATTTCAATTATTATCTAAATATCGCCATTATTGCTTAAGCTGCTTTTGATCAATCTTTCATCTTAGTATGTTTTAGTCGCTATTACCTAACTTTTCTGTCCCTATGTTTCTTTCAAGCATGTACATAATGGTATTCTGTTGGATTTGTATTTATCACTAATTTTTTGTACTTTCGAGTAGTTTGCAGAACATTTCTGTTACCTTATGCTTATGAATTTTATTTTGCTTGTATATCACGTTTTATTTGTACATATATACATTAGGGAGGAAAAGAAGTGGGAATTTTTAATTCATCTTCAACAAATGTATAAGAGTATAAAACGCGATCATGATTTTGAAGAAGGTGATTAAGTTAAAAAGTTTGTTTCTAGTACTTGCTCAAAGCTTGTCGTTCTTAATTTCGAGCTTAGAGACTAGTAAGAGGTCAGCTACAAAACAGCACCCACCTTCAGCTCTTGGATGATCCTAATGGGATTTAACCGTAATTCGTATAAGACACCCACGATCCTAAAGTGCGAAATATGATTATTTGTTTATCCTTGGATCAACAGTATGTCACGTAACCATTAGGCTTTGCTCAGATCAAGAGTGTAAAGTACATTTATAGATATGACCTTCTATCAAAATAATCACAGGGTTATCAGCGATTTATGCGCTGGATGATTTATTCATGTGTGTATTAATACAAGCCGAGTCGTGGTAATAGTTAATGACTCAAGTGAAGAAGCTACTGACAAGTGAAGATGTACTGAATGTCTTTGGTTTACGGATTTATACCAAAAAAGCTGACATCAAACATAAGGAAGAAACTTAAATGGTTTCTTCGCACCATTCTATATGTTTTTATATAGTTATAAGCATTATTTATTATATGAGACTTTGGTGCTATTGCAATAGCTCATGAGCTGAAAAAACACAACGCACAGGAACAGTACATGTGTTTTAAATTCTCAGTTATCTAAAGATAACTGACTTCCTATAGACGTTATATTATTATAAATTTATAGGTAAAGTAGCGTACTTAACGTGGATGAGAATAGCAAAACAGTTGCAAACTTACTAAAATTATACTTCTGGACTAACTCCAAACTACTTTTATTTATCACAAGCTTGAAAGCTCGTCACAGAATCTTCTTCAGGCGAGGAGAATTTGTAAATCTTTGCATAAAACACTTAAAACTATTGGCTGGAGTAACTGTCCTTCCCTGTGCTTAATGAGTGGAATACAGTATTTTATTTTAAGAGGTAATACTCCACATCTGGAGCTAGATAAACACCGTATATTTTGATTAGAAGTGCACATCGGTGACTTTTAGAGAACATGGGTATGGTCCAACACAGTTTATAATATACATTAATCTATAACTAATACATCCTGAAATATGCCCGTTAAACAACTAACAAGCAAGCAAAATGATAGGAGAAACACGTATGCCTATAACCCTGATAAGTCATAAACTCATAAAGTCTTATTTTATAGGCTTCTGAGTTAATTCATTATCACTGTATAATGAAAATAATAGGTATTAAGTATTCATTGATAGAAGAGGTAAATGGAAAAACTTTGTTTAAAAGTTTCTTAATTTGTAACTAATACTGATTTCAGTTAGCTCCAACAGAACTACGCTCTTATGTTAAGTGGTAAAACGAGTCAGATTGGTTTCTTTATATAGTGGCACAGCAGTATCTCTGCGGACTTACAACGCTAGAAACCGGGTTTCGATACCCGTGGTGGGCAGAGCACAGATAGCCCATTGTGTAGCTTTGTGCTTAACTTCAAACATAAATTCTTTCTATAGGTTGTTAAGGGATTTGTAGTTAGAAAAAATGATGTATATATAATATACGTTTTCAAACTAATGTTTTTTCTTGTTTCAGAACTCTGAATGGAAATTCACTTCGACATTTATCTTCAAAAACATTCAAGAATCTTGAAAATCTAACGCACATGTGAGTATAAATATCAAAACAAATCTACTGTTTGATAAGAATAAGAAAGTTCATATTAAATCAGTACGTCAGTAACAATAAGTATAGGTCGAAATAAACTCGCATTTTAATAAACAATATGTGGGTTAACATTATCCAGTACGTGGGTAACAATTAATGTGCATCGACATAAACAAACATTTTAATTACAGATTTGGTTAACCAATATCAGTACGTAAATATTAGTATGACACGTGGACACACAGACCTTAATGAGGGTTAAGATCAGCACGACATGTTTACCCAAACCTTGATGTGAGTTAAGATCAGCATTACATGTTGATATTGAGTTGGTTGGAATGTCAAAACTGGCGTATAGATTTTGTTTTTGTGTTTGAAATTCGCGCAAAGCTACACGAGGGCTGTCTGTGCTAGCAGTCCCTAATTTAGCAGTGAAAGACTAGAGGGAAGGCAGCTAGTCATCACCACCAACCGCCAAATCTTGGGATTTACCGTCACATTATAATACCTCCACGACTGAAAGGGCGAGCATGTTTGGT